AAGAAGGAAGGAAGGAAGGAAGAAGGAAGGAAGGAAGGAAGAAGGAAGGAAAGAAGGAAATGAAGGAAGGAAGGAAAGAAGGAAAGGAAGAAGGAAGGAAGGAAGGAAGGAAGGGAAGCAGGAATTATCCACACACTATGGACTTTGAATGTGGCCAATGTGCAGATCCCTAAAAGACAGAGCATAGGATTTTTAAAATTATATAACATTATTTAATATTTAATAGCATGTGTTTTACTGAATTTTTACAAATTGATATATCACAGTGATATTAAGAGGTATGATAAAGAAGCAAGTAATAAAATATATAATCTAGCCAAGTGTGGTGGCTCATGCCTGTAATCCCAGCACTCAGGAGGCAGAAGCAGGCAGATCTCTGTGAGTTCAAGGTCAGCCTAGTCTACATAGAGAGTTCCAGGTGAGCTGGGGCTACAGGGAGACCCTGTCTCAAAAAGACATTTATATAATCTTAGACACCACTAAGAAAACAGGTGCATGACTTACAAAATTAATTATACAACTAACACTGAATACAAAGTTGTCATTCCTTATTTTAATGAAAATTAGTTGAATCTCCGAAACTCTGTGAGAACCATTTGTTGTTACTGTTGTTGTTCCGACACTAGATTATGGTTGACATTGGGAACACAGTCCCAGGTAGCTTCATTGCTTGTGCCAGTCAACGGGAAGTTAGAAAGATCTAATGAGCATTTTGTACAGGAGAAAGGGGAAAGCGAAGAGCTTTCTAGTGAGCGAACTGAGCAGGAGAAGAGAAACGTTCTATCCACCCTTGGATTTCAGCTAACAGTTCAGCCTGCCCCTTACTCTCGTTAGACCGAATTTGGCAGGAGGTAAAAAGAAGCTTCTTTTGCTCCACCAGATTCCATGGATGAACTTGCACTGAAGGACATTTGGGTACAAATGTTTGACCAGATAGGACTTAACACGTATGCAGAATGCATGAGGTCCTTTTGGGGGTGGGGACATGCACAGGGGAGGGGATCTAGATTTGATTAAGAACTGTTGTATGAAATGTACAAAAGCTCAATAAAATATTTTTTAATAAGCTTCTTATGGAGCATGGGATATTTATGGGGAAGGATTAGGACTGAGTCTCATGTAACCCGGGCGATACTAAAACTTGCTTTGTAGCCAAGGCTGCCTTTGAACTTCTCATACTCCTATGTCCATCTATTCAGTGCTACATTCCACTGGATGCCCTGGGATCTTTTTTTTGAGACAGGGTCTCACTCTTCAGACCTGCCTGGCATGGAATTCTATGTGTAGACAAGCTTGCCTTGAACTCACAGGATCTGCTTGCCTCTGCATTCCTTGTGCTGCTATAAAAGATATCCACCACCACATCCTTCCTGTCCAGAGATTTTCAGAGACTTGTAGAAATACAAGTATCCTGATCAAGGGTACTCTAGGAAAAGGGCAAAAAAACTTGACAAGATCAAGGCTTGCACTGACTAATACTCCTAGGCTAAAACGAAAAATTAACAGTCATAAGGCTAAAATGAAATTTTAACATATACTTTTAAAATAATTTTAAATGGTGTCAGTAATTATTCCTTGGTGTATAATCCTGAACTTTTTTATGTTTTGGTTTGGTTTGGTTTTTCAGAAAGTTTCTCACTCTGTACCCCAGATGGCTATCAAGCTCACAGCCCTCCTTTCTCAGTGATCAAAGTGCTGAGATTACAGTGACGCCCTATCATGATTGGCTTAATTCGAAGAGATAAGTATAAGAAAACGGAATCTTAGCACACTGAAAACATGGCTTTGAATCTCAGACCTTCCACTTAGTTTCGTTGAACTTTTATAAATTTTGTACTGCATGAACTACAGATAATATCTCACAAGGAGGTAGACAATCAGAGCATAACTGAAAAGACTGTATTGCCGGATTAGAAAGGAGATTTGTGGGAAACTGTACCAGTGTGCAGTTGTAGTAACTGGAAAATGAAGCTAACTGTGGGAAACGGAATTTTATAAGAACATAAAGTATTGTGCAGAAACGGCAAAGCAATATGATACCACGTTTTGCTTCTCAAGTGAAAGGAAAAATCTGTGTCTATGTTATTGTCTGTTTCATGGAAGATAACAATAAGACCTAAAGTTATTTCAAATGATCTCATCACATATATGCTTTTGTTTTGCTGTATTTTCTTTAACAAATATTTCCAGGTTTTATTGGGTTTTTTTTTTCTTTGTGGTCTTTTGAGAGAGAGTCTTGTGTAGCCAGGATTGGCCTCAAATTCGCCATATAATCAAAGACAAACTTGAGTTCCTGATTCACCTGCTTCGATCACCTAAGTTCTGGGATTAGAGGCTTCCTACACAGCTCTGTTTTCATACTTTAATAGATTTATGTATTTGTAATGACACATAACGATTGCACAAATTATAATGCTCAGTGTACCCACTTCACCAGTTTGGAGCGCCGCTCAGAGTCTCTCCTGTCATTCCAGAATTTTACCTCCAACAATACTCAGAGACTGACTTCATGACTTCATCGCTCTCCTCTCAGACAAGGGGAGATGCCACAGAGTTGGGCACCTATGTGGAATACTTGGCTTCTACCCAATGTCCTGTGATCACTACATTATCAAATATATCATGTGACTAGCATATTTGACAGTTTTAAGTTTGGGGTAGAAGTATAAGCCATCACATTCTACCTTTGGAGGTAATGAGCTAAAGCGAAACGTCAGTACAAAGCAATGAGTGGGGATGATAAGCCAAGGAAGACAAAGGGTATAGTCACATCTCCATTGACTCCTCATGAAGGGAAACGTACAGAAAAGAAGGTTGGAGATTCTGAAGAATTGGGGATTGTTCTAGTTTGTTTCTCCATTGCTGCGACAAAATACTCTGACCAATATCAACTTGGGGAGGAAAGGGTTTATTCAGCTTATATCTCCTGGGTCACATTTCGTCTCTGAGGGAGCTCAAGGTAGGAATTCAGGGCAGAAATCTGGAGGCAGGAGCTGGACCACAGGCCATGGAGGAATGCTGGTTGCTGGCTTGTTCTCCTGGCCCCTGCTCAGCCTGCTTTCTTATGCAACACAAGTCCACCTGCCCAGCGGTGGCATCACCCACAGTGGGCTGGGCCCTCTCATATCACATAACAGTCAAGAAGATGCCCAACAGCTTAGGCCAGACAGTGCCAGGTTCTGGCCTCCCTCTGGCCTCCAGCAACCAGAGGGCCTGAGAACCCAGGGGAGAGCCTGACAGCCCCTGGACCCTGGCCCCACGTGGTGGTGAGCTTCCCCTAATTGCACCATACCATCCCCCTACCTGGGACTTTTTGAGGCCCCTCCCAAGGCCCCAGGGCAGATATGGATTTGGTAGGCTAAGACTGAGATCCTCCCAGACATCCAGAGCATGCTGGATTCTGCCCCCCACCCCCACCCCAACAA